TTCATAAAGCATTATTTTATACTGTAGCTACAGCAGTGTTTTAAATATTGTGTGTGTTATGGGCGGATTTTCTCTCAGACATGGAATTAAAATGATTAGAATGAAATAAGGAGGCGTGAGAGAAAGTTTGAACTGCGAAATATATTTTATACATGTAGAATTAAAATATTTCAGGGATCACCAGAAAATGGCTAACCCAAGCTGCAGTGACATAATTTAGCTAGCAAAGAAATCATTAATGATGTTCATTTTTAAGCTACTTCACTTGGTAGTATTATTAAAGTAATATTAGTTATTAAAAACTCGTAACATTATTGCAGGTTAAAGCACATTCTTCCACGAGCATTCAAGTCTTGACAGCTGTTAATTATTCTGAACCAATAAACCAAGCAGAATATGCTACATGGAAGGATGTGGTAGAAAAACAGGCTATGGATGTAAGTATTTCATTAGAAATTATATACTCCAACAAGTTATTTATATATACATTTTTACACACATGAAATTGCTTACTAAGTTCATACTAAAATCATAATAAGTGGGTAAATAAGATTAAATACAGAGTAGAAATATCTTTTAGGAATAAAAACATAAGTGTGTACATTCCTCTGTTTGCTGGTTTATGGTTAGGTGAGCAGACATAGACATCAAGATTTCTGTCTTCTGGGTTGTTGCGCTGTGTAGTCTGGTCGATGATTATCAGTGTCAGAACGTGTTTTTCAGTTTTGTATAGTCCATGAGACATGTAATGTGGGATATATGGGTTTTATTTTTGGTGAGCCAATTTTGAGAAATTAGATAATATTTTATTTATGCATAGAATTGCTATTGCATACCAAAAATTTGCATGTGTTTACTGTAGTTTATTTACCTTAGAAGTTGAGGCATAGAAGAGATAGTATAGAGAACACTAACCAAATCAAACCTAATTTACCTAGGGTAGGGCTTTGTGGGATAAAAATGTTCATTGGTGACCCAGACTTTTGTCTGAACTGTAATATGTGAGATAGTTAAGAAACTATAGATAATTATGTTTGATGTCTCTTAAAAAATGGTATAAGGTTGTTTTTCTTTGCCTCCAGCACATGAAAATGGCTCTAACGAGAGCGAACCGACTTAAGTTCAAAGAAGATCACATGAACGTTTGGTCTCAGCTGTGGAGCACAGGATTTTCAATTAGCTATTCAAAAGCAGCAGATGCTATTAATGGTGACAAGATAAATGCCACAATGTATTATATACTGTCGCAAGTTTCATCACCGTACCATGAAGAAACAACTACAAAACAGAAGAAGGCAGAATTAGCTAATAGTCTCTTCTATGCAGAAGGATGCTTTGGTGGTTATCACACATTGTGAGCTTAAATTTTTTATTCAAGTTCATTTAGTAAATCAGTCCTGCACAGCTGGTTTTGCTGCTAGCACATTGTCCAACAAACAAGATGTAATTAAATTTAAACTCTTGTCTATTATTTTCATATAGCTACTGTCTATTGCTGACATACATTTTTCTCTTTGTGGATATTTACATTTTAAAAGTTATCACAACTTTCAGGGGATGTGCTGTATCAAACGTTGAAAATTACCCAGTGTTTCGGCAAACATCGCAGTTGCTGTCTTTGGGTGCCAGTCCACAGACTGGTGGTTGATTAACACTGATAAAGATTTTGCTTGTGATAAAAGTACCTTCATCATATAAATATTGTTTTTGGGTTGTTATACCAAGTAGTCTTATAAAAAGAAGTCTGGTTGTGTTTCAAAGATGCGTACCAATTGTCAGTACTAGAAATGTAATATTATAATAATATCAGAAGTACGAGGGCGTACTTAGGCCTGTTTTCAGAAAATATCAACACACTATGGACCACTGTATTAGAAGCTAACAGATAAAACATCCTGGTAACATCAGCCAGAGAGCTGACCAAATCTGCTTATAATGAAGAAGGAAAGTTCTTAGAAACACTGCTGACGGTCAAACCTTTACGTCTCATATGAAAGACACTGACATTACAGCATATAAAACAATATTCCTCCTTCCTTTTACAGACAGGCAGATAACCTGTGGAGAGAACTTTCAACTGTAGATGATGTAAATACTGCAGTGTCATTATGGTTACTTACTTTAGAAAAGCAGGTATGTAGCTGAGCATTATATCAACTGGTAGTAATTTGATTCTTGTAGCGTGGTAATCAAATATTAACATTTGGACGTATCCAAACAGTTGTCATTTGTAAGATTTACCTCTGTAATAAAATCTCGGGCGACAAGCCGCGTCAAGATGGAGCCGTACCATAAATCATAAAATGTAACTGCATATTCTCAATTTCTGGCTACTAACACATATTAAATTGCTGTAGTAATAAATGTATTGATACATTTTCAGGGGTGCCACAACCTTATAAAAGCTGGAGCAAGTGGTGTCGTCCAGGCCATGGTGTTAAGCTTTGGAGCTTTACGTTTCAGTAATCAGCATCTTGAATTCAATATCCATCCAAAATATCTTCATAGAGATTATGTGTTCAGGTAAAAAGTACCTTAAACCTTCTAATAATATATTTACAAATTTCAGTGACCTTTGTGCTTACAGTTTTATCTGTTGTGTACAAATGCCTCATCCCAGTATTATTTATTGTGGAGTGTGTAAGTAAATTATATTATTTATATTGGTTCCTTAAAAATGTAATGGATTAGAAAAAATCACATAGGGATAAATATACTCACATGGTATAACAATTATTTGTTCCAGGGATGTTATAGACTGGACCACTAATCTCATTTTTAGGGTGACTAAAAACCGATAAAGAATAGCCTCGAGATATTGGGATAACTCTAATACTCGTAAAAAGCCGAAATATGTATACAGATTAGTCAGAAAACCCATCATTTATTATTTAGGAGACCTAGGAGCAGATGGGAGGGTAATATTTAAATTAATTATGTAAATAGGGTGTGAGTATGTGGATTCAACTGGCCATTACAGCCCTGCTTCCCACAAATATGGATCTCTTTGTGGGGAAATCAGTGATCTTTTCCATGTGTATACAAAAACTGTGGATTACATAAAATCAAATACCACATTTGACAAAACTGAATACAAATGGAAAATCATGGAAGCTTGAAATCCATGGCTGGCAAACCACGATTGGGAATGGATTGCCCTATAAAGGTATCTTTTTATTAGTGTAATATGATGTGAAGAAATGTTGTAGTGTTTGGGTAATATGTTTTTATGCTTATAACGTACTTCACTGATAACTATAAAACAGGTCCTAACGTAATTTATTGTTTCTTGTCACAGGAGGCTAAATTATGGAAATTTGACTCATGTGAATATAACTGTAGCAGTTCAAGATGACAATAAAGCTGTTCTGTATGTGGCCTTGGATCGAAGTGACAAATCTTACTATGCTTGCGACGGTGGTTGTTTGGATCTTCCAGTGCTTCTTGGGTAATGACTTGTATTATCAATTGTTGCGGCATGATTCTAAGAATTTAATTTATTAAGAGCGGAGGAAATATGTACTTTCTTTTTGTGTGTGTTCTGCGACTTGAATTTTTGCTAACGCTGTAATACAGACATACCTTGGTTTAAGTATTTCTCAACTTCAAAGAAAATTATGACTATTTACATCTACATTTTATAAAGAGTTGTCACTATATTATACACAATACCCTGAGAGTGTTTGTAATTTTCTGCAGTCGCTGTTTCAAGTATAATATCTCGCATTATATTAATTTGTTACTGTATTTATAAAACTGTTGAGGAATTTTTCACTAATTTGGCTTTTGTATTGTAAGACCCTTATTTCTACTCCTTCTTCTTACATGACATACAAATTGAGCATTTATTTATTAAATTTTATTTTATGGTTTTAGGCCACAGAAGAAAATGTTTCCTGTGAAGCTCACTGAACCAGTGACTGCCATACTATATATTACGTATGACAAGCAGCACATGGAAGAGCTGAGGCATACAATACATTTGAAGGAAATAGTTGAAGGTAAAACTGACATATAATACAACACAGCATGAAATGATGATAAAACAAATGTTAAATTAAAATTTTAAAGTTTATAAAATATACTTAATTTCTTGCCCAGCTTATTATGGTAATTATTTAATTAATATGAAAATCAGTTTTACTGAATCAGAGTTTTCATTATGTTTAACAAAATAAAATTTGAAATGTCATGAATTCTAATCAGTTCATCACGAGGCAATTGCTGTGTCTTGTACCATTGTCCTTTGGTACTATTCAGGTAATGAAATTGGTTAGTACACAAGGAACGTTCGTAGGGCTGAGTACTCGACTTACGTCCCCGACAAGGAACGCAAGTAAGATAAAGGTTAAACAGATTTCAGTCACCAGACTCAGGAAGTCTGAAAATGAATTTCTTCATCCTCTGATAAGTAAGACATGTTCAAAGCAGAAACTTTCACTGTATAGTGTTCCAGTATTTTGGTCTGTTACGAGTGAGTTTATCCTCATTTTGTCTGTTGTTTCAGCCCCTGCCCATGAGCATCATGTCATTGCACTGCACAAACATGGTCATCACCTAGGGGGCCTACCCACATTGTTCTGGGTGTCTATCTGCTTTCTTATTGTAACATTTCACTTATTTCTATTAAAACTCATTTACAATGAATATTGTGGCCAGCAACAAGATAAATATCGCACCAGGTACGGAAAACTTTGACCATGTTCTTCCAGTTACAAATAAAATCCTCCAGACTAAATCATTTTTGTTTGCACGGACTAGCCGATAGTATTCGCTAAATATACAATAGGCGTAGTTGTTGTTCACTGACGAACCATATGTTGAAAATTTTATGTTATACATTTAAATCTAAAACTTTTTTTTTTAAGTTTGGTTTAGGGTACCAGTCTTGGCTTCAGTGAGTTTTAAATCTGAAGATTTTATTTAATTAGTCTCTTCTGTTCATGTTTTTCACAAGTATTTCCTTCTAGATGCTTTCTTCATTATGAGAACATTAAAACTCTTATCAAATAAAATTTATTGAATGATAATACAGTTACTTAATAATAAGAATACACAGTTTACATGTTTGACATGTAATATGTTACTTCGTATATTTTACAAAGTTAAATAGAGGAAGAAGTGTACATACATTAGGATTCAGAAAGCTTGTGTTAAAAAGAAATAAAAATCAAGAGACTGTCAGTATGCTATCACACACAGTATCTTGAGAGAGAGTCTGACATTTATCACAGTCGTTTAACTAATATCATGTAGCATAAGAATTTGATTACTAAACTTTTCCACCTGAGTTATTTTCTGGTAATTTGAAGCTCTATTGTAAAATGGGTATGTATTCTGTAGATTGGTTGTTCTCTGCTACATAATGAGGACATTTTGATATAAGAAAACTTCAAAATTGCTTTGTTAGATTACGTAAAGATGGAATTGATTCATGAAAATCCTAGTTTATATTTTCTGTCTTGATTTCAAAGGAACTTGATTATATTAGTGATATTAATATCAAATTAAAAGTTGTGTGATATTCTGTAAGAAGTCTGAATTAGGTTACAGCGTTCATTTAATGGATAATAATCGTGAAATCTGTCATCAGTACCGTAAAGAATTCTGAGATTGTGATGGCATTTATTCAACTTTTGGCTGAGGGCTGCTAATACTTCCATTTTCCATATAAAAATTCTGAGTCTCATCACTGTTAAAGATTTCCTAGTCAAGGTGTTTCATAATTTGCAGTAAGCTGCTTTTTATACATTGTCATATGGGTAATGTACTTAGAAAAATGTAACTGTGGTTTATCATGAAATTCAGCATTTTAAATAAAGTGAACTTTAATAATTATTACAGAGTTTAAAAGTGTGTTGGCGTGTATTTACTAATCATGGTTAGTACAATGATTTCGCTGACAATGGATTGTTCCTGGCTCAGTGGAACTGTTAGACCATTTCTAACATATGATTCTCTAATGCTGACTGGTATTTTGGTCATCACAGTGCTACAATGTACCAGCTGTGTGTGTGTGTCTTTATATATGAGTAAGCAGTGGATATATTACTCATGATATTGTATATTGTGTATTAAAGCATAAATTGATTTATGATTATTTTGGTGATCACCAACTACATACTTGGCAGCATACTCTGTGTGCACATAAATTTGAAGTAAAGTTGTTCTTATGCTTAAACACCATACCTTGAACACATAGGGATTCTGGCAGTAAAACATTTTTAGCCTCAACACGGATGAAGATGAGTTGTCAGCTCAGGCTCGGGCCACTTTATGTTCATAGAAAGATGGGTAGGCTGCGTGGATGTGGTGGCAAAGAGAATAATTATTTTCCCTTCTAGGAATCAACCCCACAGTCAGTCACTTTACTGATTGAGCTATCCTGGGTGTGTGTGCGCACATGTGCACTCACACACAACTTGCAGAAATGAATGAGAATTATGATCCAACTAAACACATCATAAAATAAAGTGCTGACAACATTAATTCTGCTGCTTCTGAGTATGGATTAAAGAATGTCTTCTCAATGCCTGACTTCCAGTGTAACTTTTTCCACACACTTCACAAATGTGAGCTTTCTGTCCAGTATGTTTTAACATATGTGGTTCTAATTGAGACTTCTGACCAAATCCTTTCCCACATATAGAACACATGTAAGGTTTCTCTCTGGTATGCACTGAAGAGTGTCTCTTCAGGTCTCCATTCTTTATAAAACCTTTGCCACAAACAGAACATAAGTATGGTTTCTCCCCGGTGTGTGTTAGCATATGCGTCTTCAAATGACCACGTATCAGAAACTCTT